AAATGGATTTAGGATAATCGCTCCTTTTGCAGTGAATTTTGGTAAACGTAATTTCCTTAATTGTTATTATATTGTTTTCCTTCCTGGGTTTAAAAAAATAAAAAAAAGTTGCTTCGTTAAGCAAAAAATTTTAACCGTGTCTGTAGTATTTATTAACATTTATTGTAAATATGTCCGAGCCATACCATAAGAAGTATTTTATTAACTTTTATAATTAAGCTTAATATAACCGCGTGCATAAAAATTAATTTGCTTTTGTTTCTCACAATGAGATTTCTATTGACAAAAAGTCAGTATAACATATAAAAATAAGTAGTAACTAATCAAAACTGATACCGAATACTGAATAAAACCGCATGTTTTTTTTATGGGGATTAATAAGGCTCTTGATGGTCGCAGAAAGGACTATTTAACATCCCAAAACTTCTACATCTCCTAATTGTAAAACTTCGCAAAACAGACCAATGGAACATGGTCTTTTTGTCGTTTTCTCCCGAGCAAGGTTTGTCATGTTGTTAAAATACCTAGGAATAATTCTAGACCAAGAACTAAAAGGAACAAAACTCGCGTAACACGCAATAATGATGCTAATTGAGGGTTTCGAAGTTTAACATATCCATAACTTAAATCGAATATTTTCCTAAAGATTAACTCTGGACTCTTAAAACTTAATTTGAGCCTTGAGTTCTATTTATGTTGATCATTATTTAATTTGCGAATCGTAGTAATATTTACAGGGTGTTTCGTAAGTAGATGCATTTCTTACAGGGAGTGATAGTGAAAGTTATTTTGGATATATTTCGTAAGTATACCGTGTTCCGAAAACGCTTAGTTTCCGATCTATAGGGTGATAAAGTTTTAATGAACAAAATTTGACTTAATAAAATTGCGGAAACCGCTTCGAATATTTAAACGAAATTTTACAGGCTTTGGCTCTTAACAACAATACATGTTTCGTGATGAAAATTTTGTTGCTAGCTTTTCTAGTGGCGTGGGCGCAGGCACGACTGTAGATGATTTTAAATAAAAAAGTTACGCCACTGATTTTTATGCAATAAACCTAATGATTTAAATTCCTGTTCAATTGGGATTTTTTAATCAAACACGCTGCATTCTAGAAAAAAAGTCAAGAGACCTTTTCTTTTCAAAATTGAACAGGCACTTGAAAAATAGTATTTATTTTTAGAAAAATCAGTGGCGTAACATTTTTTTTATTTAAAATGATCTACAGACGTGCCTGTGCCTACGCCACTGGCGAAGATAAAAACAATTTTTTTATAATAAAACATGTATTACTGTTAAGTGCCTAAGTCTGTAAAAGTTCATTAACATATTTCAAGGGGTTTCCGCAATATAAAAAAATATCATTTTTTAATTAATACTTTAATTCGCGGTAGATCCAAGACTAAGAGTTTTTGGAATTTGGAACAAGAAAAGCATCGACTTACCAAACATCCTGTATATTGTATTATAGAACGTATTCGGAACGATTTGTGAACGGCTTGAAGACTTCATAGATATTTATCTATTTCACATTTAATTTTTTTATCATTTTAAGATATTTTGGTATCCGAAAAAGCATGATGCGAGAGTCTTTCTTCAAATTCTTTCGAATCTACTTGAATTGTTTTCTTGTGCTTTAACTCAGCTGAAATGCAAAGTTCGTTAACGTAATAAGGGAGTAGTATAGGAATCAGATAAATTTTAAATAAAAAAGCGAAAGTATGCTACATTTAATTAACACATAGTGTAAAAAAGTAGTAATAATTGAACTAGCTGCTGCACTTAGTAACTGTACAGCTATTTATTACATCAGAATCACTTTGGTCAAATCGATTTTCCTGAAAAAATAATTCTGCATTTCGGTTATTTTAAAAATAACTAAATGAAAAGCGAAAACCAAGGGGGGTAACAAAACCAAAAAGTAACGAGATGTTTTCAATACCATCTGCTAGTTGTTTACTGCTTGAAAATTAACACACCAAGCAATGGTGTTAAGCCAAAATCATCTATTTTTCTGATCTTTCTCATGGTCATGTATAGTGGCGGAGTTAAAAATGCGTGTTACCACTTATTAAAATGCAAAAAATACGATTAGATCGGGAGGCACGTCGTGAAGTCATAAATATTTAATATTAAAAACTGGTTAGGATGGGTTGTGGCCGTGGGCTGCAATACTCCTATTTGCCTTAGTAACCTAAAAAATCTTTTTATTTTCAAAACGCAAGGACCTGAATATGTTTAGGATGTAATTATATTTGTATTGACCAGGGGCGTTACCAACGACAACTACAAAACCGAAGATTGCAAAATGATACTGATTTGTTCTGATACCTTAATTAATTAATTTTACGAGTTTTATTCTCAATTATTACGCTTCTAGCAAAGTTTGAAAATATCATCAACGTCCCCATACTGTTACATGCATATTCATTAAAATGATTGATTACTAATTAGTTTTAATACAAGTTTTACTACCCTCGACTATGACTAGCCATTTCCAAATTATGTTGCAAAACTTTGATCAAAACTCATGTAAGCTGCTTAATTAAGCCTTGCACATAAGTATAGTTAGCATATGGTAGTAAATATCATCAAACCTGCAACAGCGTGACAAAAAATTACAGATTTACATGCATAATGTGAAGTCATGTTTATAAATTCCGACTATTTCGATTCAGGCTGCTTCAGGCAAACCCATTTCTCCAAAAAAATAATAACAGGCCATTAAGACCCGAACGCAGCTACCAGAAAATTGAGATGATATTCAAATTGGCCGCCCCAATAATTGAGTGTGTAAGTTTTTTGATGCTATTTGTCGTTTTTATTGAACCGCTCTCAGAAAGAAACACATTCACGAATTATGATCATTCCCGAAATGAGAACGTCTGAAAGAACATTTTCGATCATTTTGATTTATTTTCCTGACTGCGTGTAATTGTCATTATATTATTTTCTTTTCTGGGCTCCAGTCACTGGATAATATTCCTGTGACTGGAGCCCAGAATACATAATAATACAATTTTTCGATAATTAAATTTATCTCCCGGAGGGAGAAATGGTTTTGCAATTAACAACAAGAACGTGTGGCTCTTAATTCTAGGTAACTAGTTTTTAATAATTAATTCAAAATTTTACACTTAATTATGCCTGTTTTAAAAATTCTCCGAAGCGAAAAGAAAGTTTACCTTCCTATTTTATGAAGTCATATTTGGTAATACAATCATATGTTTTATTAAATTGACAAAGATGTTTTGTTGCAAAAACAGCAGATTTAACTAGTAGTGTGTGTAATGTAATTTAATATGGTTTATGTTAAAAATAGAGCTGAACGTATAAAAGCAAAATCAACATTTAGTAAGGTAACTCGTGAATCGCTTCTTAAACGATTTCGTAATTTGAACATCATTTGGTATATTTTGCATCGTTTAATTTGATTGATTTTGAAAACATTCTGCAGGATCAAACATCATACATAGCTGGAAATTAAAGTCCTAGATTTATTATTCATTCATTAAAGAATATTTCCGATCGTATTCTGAATAGTGTTCGTAGAAATAATGGATGATTCATAGTAACAATCTTCCACTTTTCAGCATATTCTAGTCGTTATACTTATCAGTGACTTAAAGTGATAAATAGCATCGGATATCAGAAATTATACAAAAACCTACTTAAGTGTCATCTTCCTAGAAACAAAGTAGATGGAATAATTAAAATTTGAAATGCAAAATAATTTTCACTAGAATTAAATAGCCCAGAATTGCATTATGGAAACCATTAGATTGGGTAGCTAGACGTCGTTACAACCAGCTGCTTTTCTATGACTTAATAATTTAAAAAATCCTTATGAAAACCGAATATACTATTGCCTCTTTGGGCATTTTTTTCTCACCATAAACTAAAGGACAACATTTATTTTTAGGACGAGTTCCAAATTTTTTAGCCTGAGCTAATCCTTACCCAATGTAAGTTAGTAGCATGCTTCTAAATACTGTGCGCACAAAACTCCTTTTAACATTGCGTTTTAATTGAATCAAGACCTTCACATCCTGAGAATAATAAAAGTTACATTTACTGATGTACTAACGCAGGAGAATTGTGCCAAAGAAAGTTCATACAATTCTGCATAAATTGCACTGTTAGCGTATATTGCTGTAAAAGTGCTAGGAATTAATCGTGGTTTTTTCCAAAACAATTGCAATTTCTGGCGTTACACAATACGATACTTTATACAGCACCTCACTTCATTATCTAAAATAGGTTTGTTCATATTATGAACATTTTCTACCAATAGGAACTGTAAAGTCCTAAAAAGATGGCATTTTGTTCGTTTTAATTAGTCGAATATACGCGAAATACCGCGAAACAAGTTTAATGGTTAGTTTACTTTGCATGCTATTAGCCCATGTTCCTGTCTTCCTTGTTTATAAGTATGTAACGCTTGTATCGCTAAGCCGATACATTATTATTCTTTTTTATTAACTTTAAAGCGTACGTCAAGTGAAAACAAATTGCTTTTTGAACAACCTTGCATCGATCCGGAGTTTACCTTGCAATGTTTGAAAAATCACGTATTAAAAGTATAAACCTTTAAAAGACTGAATATATCAAATTTCGATCATTGTGGTTCATATGAAGGCTCGAACCAAATTGAAGTATAAAGGAAAATAGCAAATAAAACGATAAACCCTATTCGTAGATACAATTATTTTTATTAAGTCAGTCTCATTATAAACCTGTTAAAAATAAAATTGTATATAAATGACCATGTAACTAAATATATTCAACAAACAAACATCTGTAAACAGGGTGAATGAAACGAAATAAACATATATATTTAAAAACTTGTTCAAAAGCGTGTAAAAAGTGTTATAATTTAAAATTACATGCTTTAAAATTTAAATATTAATTTGTACTCAACAGGAAAAACGAACAACAAAATGAAAAATTAATAGTCAGTATACAATACACAAAAATTATGAGTATAAAAATTAATATTATGTCAAAAATACAAATTTATTTAGTCTCTGTCGTGGGAACATTTATAAACTATTATATTACTAATATCTACAAACAATATCTTACAAAAGATTGAAACACACTACATGATGTGTCCTGTATATCTAAAATCACTCTGTCGACCATAACTACCATACAATTAATTCTGTATGCCTATTATGGTGGACTGCAGCTAACTTACTGCTACATACTGTGCGTAATTGGCTCAACGATATAGTGAAATATTTAATCAGAATATATTTTAGATATTTTAACGTTGCCTGAAAATCATCGTGTGGTCAATATATTTAAACAAAGGTTTAGTAATACTGACAAAAACGGATTCTTATCAGTAATGTGTCGATTTATTATAATTGCTAAAATTGTCAATTGCTAAAAAACACGTTTCTTACAAAAATATTAAATATTGCAAGTCAACAGCTTAGTCGATAATACGGAAAAAAGTAATTAACATATCAAAGCTTTTGTAAAACAGATTCAAACAATTAACAACACAACTGACAGAGAGTAATCCTAGTTAAATGCAATTAATATCATGAAAAAATTACATTCTCATAATTAGAACTTCGTCATATCTTCTGCCAGGTGCAAATCTACATTAAAAACTTAAAATAAATAATAGAAAAAACTGTTTGTCCTGTGATCTAGAGTATATAGAATACGAGTCAAAAATACCACAAGACATTCAAAAGATATTTCTCGGTGTATATACAAGGGTATGATTAATATGAAAATAAATAATGTGTTTGTTAGGAGTGTTACATGATACTCCTGTTAATGTTTTGATGAAAAGTGATGCTTATACCATATGAAAATTGTTACCTTATGATTCTTAATTATACAAATGATGTGGCTTAGCAACTCCAGTCTTAAAAAGTTTTTTAGTCTTTTGCAGGGACTAATTAAGTAAATTTTGTCATTCTGACAAAGCGGTTTAACAAACGCTTATTTAGGATTTCTGAGATTTTAGTTTGATTTGAGGTTTCGTGGTATCAAAATTACCTTAAAGCAGTCTGGAGGTACGGCCACACATCCAGGCTTGATTTTTATTTCTGAGCCTGGAGTTATGTTGTAGTTTTGCAGCAGCGTGGACACAATAATAAAACTAAAACATTGGACTAGACGTTGACCGATGCAAGTTCTTTTTCCAGTACTGAAAGGAATGAAGTGTGCGGGCTTCACAACATTTCCTGCCGGTGAAAGGAATCGCTCGGGCTTAAATTTTTCTGGTTCGTCCCAATATTGCGGACTCAAATTTAATTCATAGTTATTCAAAAATATCATCGTGCCACGTTTAATAGGGTAACCTTCTATTTCGGTGTCAGTTGAAGCAACATGGGGAACGATAGGCGAAGATCCTTTTCGCAATGTTTCCCATAGAACAGCTTCAGTGTACGGCATTGCAGCTTTATCAAAGAGGTTTACGTATCGCTGTCCTCTAGTCACTTCGTCAACTTCCTCCTGAATTTTCTTTGCCACTTCTGGATATTTTACTACTGATGCCAAAATCATCATGACTAAATTTCCGATAGCTGAATGGCCCCCAATAAAATCTTCAAGTTCAAAGATTATGTGATTCCATTCCATATTCGGATCATCTCGTAAATGAATCAACAGTGCATCTGTGAAGTCTCTTGGTGGTGCATGGTAGTCTAAAGTATTAACGTGATCTTGAACAATTCTTGCCAAAATAAATTCTCTAATGTCCGCAGCCCACTGGGATAACTTGCTCATGTGTTTACTGTACATTGGCAATAGCCAAGGTAAGAAATCGACCGCATATCCCTGGTTAATCTCCCAAAAAATCTCGTCAAAATCTCTCACAACTTTTTTAAATTGTTGATCGTCATAAGGAAAACTTGTAGAGCACATATACTGCAAGAACATGTTTGCGCATGCTGCTAGTACTACTGGCTTTATATCTACGGGTGTGTTTAGAGGAAGCTTTTGCATTTCGGTCATAAATGCATCTAGTTCATTAGCTCCTACAGTATTTACAGTAGCATATTGAAGAGAAGTAAATCTGGGGGAGCAGTACGTTCTTGCGATGCTCCTTCTGGTTTTCTGAAGAACAGACCAGTCACATAAAGCCAAAGCTGAAACAAAGAAAAACAATATTTTACTCAAAAGTAATGCCCTCCATTATCGCAATAGCAATCTGTTCAATAAATTACTTTTGATTGCCCGATAGGCTTAACAATTTACTTATCATTTCCAAGCGAACACTTTATTGGCTAATTGTGGAAGTAGAAAGCATGCAATTATTTACGTATCAATATAATTTTAATGACTGACATATATCCAGCAAATGTTACAAACAATTCGTTCCTATTGCTACCGGATAAGGGAATATGCAATTTGAATCAATTAATTTAATCAATTTGGACGAAAATTTTATTTCGTAATGAATCCTAATAGAGGTCAGTGAAATCATTTGAATTAGGCGCTTTTAACCGATGCGAGTAAACTCGCTCTTCAAAGTGAAATTGGTTAGTGAAATTATCCTACAAAGATTTAAAAAAATAACAACTTATTAACCAGGCATCAGATTCAGTTTCATTTGAAGTTTCAAGTTCAAGTTCATGGGTAGCCAGTGTGAGCATACGCAATGTTATGAATGAACAGGTGTTGCGTTGTTGTTAAGACAGAAAGTTGACAGAGAGATTTGCTTTTATCTCTTTTCGCACGGAACAAATAGTGCATAGGCGTAGGTAAACATTAACAAATTGTAAACAATGCCGGATTAAACTTTGAAGAAACGTCTCTAGGGCAAAATAAATCATACGTGCGAATGTATGCGATGAGAAGGTTTTGTCAAATGGTTCAATTTGCCGTGACCACAAATAAATGCATTTTCTGAAACTTATGCAGAAAGCAAAAGAGGCAAATGATATGTGTGACTGTGATTGTGTGATTCTTCATTTTTAAATAATTTATCACATAAAATGGTTTTCATTCAAGCAACAGGTTGTTTTCATATTTCCGTCCAATTCGTATTCATTATTAAATGTACATTTTTACACACGCATTTTCTACATCGTGTAATATTTCTACCATTTACTCTGTAAATAATATATTGGAAACGGTGGCCTCCATTCTACATTATTGAAATCGATTTCAACAACAATTTCCGATCTTTTTGAACAATTACTGTAACGTATTTGTTACAATTTTTTTTATAAAAATATTTTAATAAATTCTTTGTGTGACAAACCGTTAAACTCTCAGACAAGAATTACCAACAAAATTTATACAAGGAGATCCTGTTGCGACTCTGTTTTACAAGACGTTTCAACTTTTTTCCCTGAGATTTGCCGTATTCTAACGGTACAAAACTCATCTCTGATAGAAGAGTTATGAGGTCAAGGAAAGATAGTTTGAATAATTGTTCTTCAACTAGCTTTATGAAGAATGACGGTAAAATAAAATGATATGTTTATTGACGGGCGTGTCTGGTACCTACTCAAATATATGTAGCTGAAAGTTTGCAGTAAATTCGATTATTCGTCCAATTATTTATTTGAAAATTATTAAAAACAATCGAAACGTGTATTCGCTCAATGTAAATTTTGCGAGTTTTATATGGAATGGTATATGGTTTTATATGGCATTGCGGTTTTTATATAATTAAATTATATGGATGCAAACAGAAATATATTTTCGGTTCATGCAAATCTAATACAGAAAAAATTGAATAGTGACATTTGTTTGCAGATCGAATGTACAGTTTTACTTAAATCGTTATAGCCAGGAGAACAAGTAGCCACTGGTCCTGATGCAATGCAATCGATATAGTTAATGACATTTTATTTAGCTATGACAGCATTTAGGTCAATCAAGACGATTGTTTCGCGATTTCTGAGAAAGTATTGTTAATTCCGGCATAACAGTACGTTTTCGGCATATTGGACATGGGACAGTGATATTTCCAACTCAGAGTAAATTTTGGTAGTACTATTTTCACAAAAAAAAAAACGTATAAAAGGCGATAAGAAGCTAAAAAAATACTCACAGTTATTTCGGTCTCCACCGAACAGTTTGTGGAATCTCATAAAATCAGGTCTTCCTCCAAAATCGCCCCCTTTGGTAATTAACACTTCCTTTATAAGATCAAAATTATTGACTACAACACAGGGAGTGGATCCCATTGTGATACTAAAGATATCTCCGTAAATTTTGCTGAGGGCGGTAAAGCCTTCGAAAGGTGTTTCGTACTTGCCAAGAAGATGGAGACTTCCTATTAGCGGCCAGGGTTCTGGACCGGGAATAGGTTTGGCGGTTTTGGGCTTTCGTATTTTGGTAGCCCACAATTTTACCAAGAGCACCATCACAATTACGCATAATACTGAAACCACGATCATGTCTATATGTCTATATGCGTTCTTTTGCGTGTGAGCACTGTTGTGCGTTCGAGGTGGTACTGATGGAACCGCGCGAACCGCTACCCTCTTTATGACCGCGGATCGCGAGAGGACCGTAGTCTATCGTGGGGGGCTTGACTTAATAAACTGGCTCAATCAAAAGCCATCATATCAACCCTACCAGACTGGATGTCGCGATTCATGAGGGTTCCAAGTTTCATCTACATTTGATTAGACTAGTGATGCAAGACTGAGGCTTGAGTTAGACCGTTAACTGAGATGTGTTTTGTTTGCCCAATAACTTTATTGATTGGTACTAGTATATCTTTTAATATGTACGCTCATTTAGCTTGTCAGTATGTCACGTATTTTTCAATATTGTTTTTGCTGCAAATCCGATATATATTTTATCATTACGTTGTCACGCATATTTGAAATGTTCAAATAAATGAAAACTTTTTAAGCTAATACTCATCATATTGAAAATATTGACAATGTTTCAAACAGCAAATATTCGGTTATATAATGTATAATCAATATTTAATGCTGCGAAGTCTAATCATAATAAACAAATATTATCAAATAAAACAAATCAACAGAATAACAAATAAGTGTTCAATGCACTGATAAATATGATCAATTATCTTTTTCAAGTAGCCAAAATGACGACTGTTTGAATTTTTGAAAAAATTTACGTTTTAGGATCCAAAACTAACCGTCTTCACTCCTCATCAAAATTTTCTCGGGGAGTCAAATCGGGTGACCGAAGAGACTTATTTAATCTCACTTATTTAAAAACTATATAACCTCCTTTAGAAATTGATCGTTGAAAACACATCACCAACCTTTCGGTTATTTATATATATCGCTAATAAACTGCAGAAATTAATTTCAAGTTTTCCCCAAAATAAATCGGTTTGACTACCGTCAAAATTAATTTAAACTGATTATAAATTTTCCAAAATTATTGGGCAAAACCTGTTGATGGTTATATTAGCCCTAGCGCAAAGCGTTTTGCAAAAATTCTCCCTGAATAAAAATATTTTCTGTAATACTGTATTTAATTAAACGGAACATTTTAATCCAAAAAATGCAATCAAATAAAAAATTATAAACACCAGTTAATTTAAGAAGCAATGCATTATCAAGTAAATATTTAACTGATATACTTTCTATTGATGTCGACATATTCAGTTTCAAATAATTGAGAAATCGAAAAATTCGTATAGGGTAAACCTTAGAAATATATATTATTCGCATCACATAACAAAGTAGTACCCGTTTAAAAATTATCATGTTGATAAAATAAGCACAGCATCCAAACTTTACTAGTTTCCTACTCCAACTATTCTTACGAGTCGCCTCCTAAGGTTGCCTAGCCCTGTATATTAATTCGAACATCTCAGGTAATAGTTTTAAGGTCACTGATTAAAAGGATGAATTCAATGCTGATGAACGGAAAATTGAGCTTTTAATTTCCTTATGGTAGCAAAATTTATTTGATTTAAGCAAACCACCCGCCGCTCACCTTGCATATTTGATATACTTAATTTACGTTAGCAACGAAAGTATAGCGGCATACATTTTGTATCATGTTACTTATGGCATTAAGTGTCTATATGCAAGATGTATTTGTTTTATTAGCTATTGACTTAATGAATTGGACGTTAATAAACTTTCCTTAAATAATAGATTGTCAAGCAAATCATGCAATATCTAACACTGTATAAGAAGGATGATAGTTTGTATGTAATTTTTTTGTGCAGTAATATGGATTGGCTAGTAAAAATTGTTGAACTGTAACTTTCAGAACGAATTCTTAGAAGCAGAACTAATTTTAGAATTTACAGCTTTTCCGCTTGATTTAAATATTTGCGTAATATTTAAGGAAAGGTTCCAAATAAGCCACAAGAAGTTGCAGAATTTGAAAGAAAATCTGTTTATATTTTATGTGTTTCCTCATACATAATGAATTTTAAAAATGACGGTAATGATTTTATTAGAAAAGGAATGTGAGAAGTGACTTTTGGGCGTAGTACTGTAATGTCCCAATTTTTTCATGGTGAGTATTTTTATGAGAGATTTTGTTTACTGTTTTATGTAAATGAATGCCGTCGACTGACCTGAAATCTGAAATGCCTCATAGACCGTCTAGAAAATTCGGATTGTCAAATGTATTACACTAGACGATTCTTTGAAACGTTTGCTGCATGTTAATCAATCGAATTACCGATAAAATACAACGCAAATCATAGTTATTCAACAAAATTTCATCAGATCTCTTAGGGGAAAGTTTGGAGATAAAGTACTTGTTTCGACTGATGCAAAATGAACCTGAAATTTATACAGATTTTTATATCATGATAATGACTAATAAGCGACAGAAATACGTCACGAATTAAATCAGACGCTATTAAACAAACATGTCATAATTAACATGATAATGCGCTCTAATATGAAATTTCTTTATTCTATTTCTGCTTATAAATTATACACTTCTTCAGAAGCAGTGCCATATTGCCTAGATATCTTGTGTTTTAAGATCGTATAGCCCACCCCAGAATTCACTAGTTCAATTGAGAAAATTATACTTTAGTAGATTCGTTTAGAATGTGTGTCGCTACATTCATTCATACATTTGTTATTTGTATTTGTTTACACTTGCAACATGTTGCAACATCTGAGAAGTAGTTTTTCACTGATTAAGCATTACCAAATACCATTTCAAATAACACGTTGACCCAATTTTTGTTTTTGCTTGTTTGTAATGGAATACAACATTTTACTAAGGAAACTAACGTTCACATACATAAGTAGCTATATCTTAGCTTACATAGTTTGAGAGTTATTTTAGTTTAGTTTGGCATGTGATTAGGCTCAGGCATACTTCACTAGATTTTAGTTGACTCTTTGTATTGAAACCAGCACAAGCTCTATTTTAAAAAAGTGTATTGAGCTGCAGTTTATTTAAAAACAAACATCGCTCATGTGTATGTTTGGTCTGCAAAGGGAGTTTTTAATATTTTGAAAATATGTTGCAAAAATCTTTTGGAACGTTAATACAGCATGCAACTGTATTGGTTTTGATGCAACATTAGACTGCAGATGTCTTTAGAACTATTGATATACATGTTTTCCGGTTTTAAGAATAAGAGCTAATTTCAATTGATCCATTAATATGTCCTTTGTCGCCTTTATTTTCCTCTCAGTATAAGAATTATCACTTGGCAGACTTCAATTAATTCTTTTATGAAGCCTTCATCTTTTCCTCTCTTTAGTTAAATGCAAAAACACCAATATAAACAATGATTTTTTGCAAAAATGTCCACAAGGACGGACGCAGTGGTATAAATACTACCTGGGCGACCACAAAGCAATGTTATTTATAGTACTACAAACTTCTGATGGTCAATGTTAAATTCATTAATAAAACAATCTTAAACCAGGGTCATTCAATTTTGCATTAACTGTCGGGGATTATTACTACATTATGAGCGTACTTTTTATTACATAAGGTTTAATTATGTCAAATTAAAAGAAATTTTTTGAACATTTTCAGATTATACAAGAATTGCTATGTTGCTCGTACCAAAAAATTCAATAGTGAAAGATTTGAGGAAAGTCGCGCATTTAAGGTTATAAGTCACGGAATTTTATTGTAAAAAATATAATTATACAAGTTTTGTTGTCTAAAGGAAATAAAAATGTACAACCGTTTGTTACATTTTTTACATCATCAGAAAGAACCTAAAGTGAAGAAATGGAAATTGTTTTAAACATTTGGACATTTGGAAACATAATGGATCGAAATTAACAAGAACATTTACATTTGGAAACAATTAAACACAAAACTAAACACACAGTGATAAAATTACTTTAAATATTCGATGTTGTTAGTTAAAAAAAAAATATATGAATTTCCATAAACGCTGTAAAACGCACCTATTGGCAATTTCACTGTGATTTTAATACAATAAACCCCATAAAGAAGTCTGCCCCCTGGCTTTTATGGGTCACATTTTCAATAAAATATGTATGCTTTACTTATTTTTAATTGATTGCAATTTTTACGATAGATTTTTCACTTTAAATCGACTCGCTTTTTACAATAACTGCAAAATTAACTTTGCGGTTTTAATAATCACACTTACTGCCAATTGAGATATAGTTTTAAAAATTCATTTCTGAATCTTCGTTTCGTATTTTGTATTATCGGTTGAAGGCAAATGTAGAAATAGTTGAGGCTTGAAAGTCTCGTCAAAAACAGTGTACAAAATAAAAGTATGGATCAGATAGCTCATGGTAGCGGGAGAATAAAAATGGAAAAATTCTAAATGAAAATTTAGCCATGAAACCCCTCCAGGGTTTCTACTCGCTGATATTGTAGCACTTGTAAATGATATCGTATCAAAAAGTGCAAAATTATTTTTTGTTATGGAGTTTAGACCGTAGATTCAGTTTTTCTATTTTAATTATTTTTGTGTTAGTGCTACTGACGTGTCTAAGGCCTTTTGATCGAACATTTAATGATACATTTTTTCTTCGTGCTGCCGATTGAGCGTGTTTTAACTGGAAGCTAGATTACTAGAAAAGATGGTAGGATAAGAAACATTGGCATAATTATATTTCACGCAGTTCTTGAATCTTGCTGGTTTAAAATTCTCTAGCTATTTTAGCTAACTCCAGAGATTATATAACGTATATAAAAGAAGGGCCTATGTTATTTTTTGTATAAAATTAAGAACTTGGTCTTTGGTGACATTCAAGAATTTCATAAATAGTTTGTTCGTAGCAATAATGATTTATGTGTTTCCTTCAGAAAATTGAAAGCAAGTAGAGGGTCAGTCTCTGTCATCGGCCTTGAAGTATTTAACAGACTAGCAAGAAAAATAAAACCGCTTCTACTATTTACAAAAGCCGTTAAAGACTATTTGGATATATTTATGTAATTATGTCACAAAAGAGCATTATTCTAAATTAGACATATTCTATCACACAGAGTGTTTGGTAAGTTAATACTCTACTTATAGCAACTGCTAAACTCTAGAAGTAATACCTTACTCTATAATGTTATACTACTAGTAATTTTGAGTTATTATTTCCTTAATATACCGTGTTCTGAAAACAATCAGTTTTCCATTTGCAGAA